CTCAGAGCTGTGCACGGAGCCAGTGGACACTGCCCAGAACTCTGCCTGGATGCGAGACCAGGGACGAATGGAAGTAGGCCCTACAGTTGTGTCGTGGAGCACCCCCCATTCGGCATCCTCCCTCTGGTGTTCTAGACCACAGCTTTCGCCAGGGTCAGGAGGAGGTGGACAGGGTCTCGTGACTCCTTGGCGCCATGGCTGGGGTGTGTGTAAATGAACAGGTGTGGGGAGAAGTGCAGCCAGAACCTCAGCAAGTGGTTCAGGAGCAGCCAGAAAAGGGGCAGGTAGGCGTGTGCCAGGCTTTCCCTCCCGTTGCAGAAAGGGCAGGCACCTGAAATGGGTGAATCGCACCGGGTACACGCCGGTGCTCACAGCTCTGTGGAGAAGCCGCCAGCTGATGTCCCCGTTGGGCTGTGGGGCTAAGCAGGCAGTGTTCACACGTGGCTGTTCTATGGCTTTGACATGTGACATTGTGATATTTATTGTCCTACTATCCGTCCTTTTGGTTCCTGCCACTGTGAGCCTCTTTGAGTGCTGCTATGCACAGAGAAATGTGCACGGTGCTCTAAGATTAAGTGACGACAGCTAATTTTAACCTCATCATTTTGTATGTAGACTTGAGATTTTCCAATGGGCGTTACTTTGTATTTCTCAACACTGAATTTCATTTCCCATTTGGTTGCACCGTCACCCAGTTTTGTAAGATGATCCCACTGAAACTTGCAGTCTGTTTTGGACTTAACTATCTGGAGTAATTTTAAGGAGTTTGGTGGCACCTGAAAGACTAACACATTTTTTAGGGTAATTTTGCATCTTTTATTAATATGTTGAGTAGCGCTGGCCCAGTACAGATCCCTGACACCCTATTATTTAGCTCTCCCCGCTCTCAAAACTGACCCTTTTTTTCTTGTTTTATAACTAGTTACTGATTCATGATGGAACCTTCCCTCTTATCGTAGAATTATAGAATCACAAGGCCAGCCATAATAACTCCTCATCTTACCCCATGACTGTTTACTTTGTTTGAAAGCCTTTGGTGAGGGACCATGTCACAGGCTTTTTGAAAGTCCAAGTATACGACATCAATTGGATCACTCTTGTCCATGTGCTTTTGTTGATCCCCTGAAAGCATTCCAGTAGATTGATATGGCAGGATTGCCTTTTGCAGAAACCATGTTGACTTTCCCAACATGCTGCATTCCACTATGTGTCTGATCATTCTGATCTTTTCTGTACATTCCACCAATCTGCCTGCTATTGACGCCAAGCCTACTGACCTGTAATTGCCAGGATCTCCTCTGGAGCCTTTTTAAAAATTGGCATCATATTAATTATCCTCCCAGTCATTATCCTCCCAGATTTCAGTGAGAGGAGATGTACCCCTCTTAGTTCTTCAGTTTCGTATTTGAGTTCCTTCAGAGCCCATCGGTAGTACCATCTGGTTCCAGCGATTTTATTCCAGTCTGTTTGATCAAGTTGTTCTAAAACCTTCTGCACCGACACCTCAATCCAGGACAGTTCCTCAGATCTGTCACCTAAAAACCCCTCTCAGCTGCAAGGATCTCCCTCCTGATCTCAAGTGACAGCTGATGCAAAGAATTTAGGTCGAATGCCCACAATGATCTTGTCTTTGAATGCTCTGTTAGCAGCCTCCTGCTTCTGACAGGCTTCAAAACATTCTTGTTTTCCTTTGCTAGTTGCTCTTCAGATTCTTGTTTGGTCTTCGTAAGTGTCTGTTCAGGTGACTTGCCAGAGTTTTTCTGTTTTCCTCAGTAAGATTTGACTTGCAATATTTAAAGGGTGTTTTTGTCTCTGACTCATTCTTTTATTCTGTTGTTCCACTGTGGTGGGTGTACTGCTGGCTGCTTTACTGTTTCGTTGTGTGTTTTTAATTTGGGGTATACGATGGTGGTAGTAAAAAGTTTCCATGCAGCTTGCGGGCATTTCACTCTTGTAACTGCTCCTTTGATTTTTCACTTAACTAGCTTCCTTGTGTGTGTAGTTCCCCTTTTTGAAGTTAAATGCTAGTGGGGTGGACTTCTTTGGTATTTCTGCCCTACAAGCCTGTTAGTTACGTTGTGGTCACTATGGTCACCTCTTGACTAGTTCCTGTGCGCTATGTAGTACTAAGGTAGTGTCTACACTGCCAGCCAGTTTGGCCCTGCTGCGCTCAGTGCAGTGGTGTCAATGTGGCTGGCGTGGTGCAGGCATGCGAAGTTGCTGGCAGAGCATTCGGTCAGTCCTGCATCTCCACAACAGGCAGTAGCGTTGACACAGGAAGAGCATCTCCCATCAGCGTAGCGTGTGTAAACACCACCGTACATCGACCTACATGACAGTCTCTTCAGTTACCTGGTGTACATACCCTGAACTAGAGTTACTTGGTGACTTACTGTTAGGGCTGGTCTGCATTAAGTCGAAAATTCCCTTTCCTCCCTTTGGTTCCAGGACTTGCTGCTCCAAGAAACGGTGTCTAGAAGTGTTAGCTTTGTGTCCCAGCCTGAAGTGACCTGTTCCTAGTCCATATGGAATCGCTGCAGTCCCCTCTTACTGAGGTTTTTTTATAGCCTCTCTAATCTCCCTGAGCATTTCACAATCACTCTGGTCGGGTGGTCAGTAATACAGCTCTATTGCTAGACTCTAATGATTCACGCATGGCATTTCTATCCCTAGAGATTCATACCATTTGTCATTTTAAGATTTTTTGTTATATTTGAGCTTTCTTTCCGATATAGTGCTACGCCCCCACAAACACAACCTGTCCTGCCATTCAAAATATGCAAGTATTCCCCTGCCCCATTGGTTCTCATTGTTCTACCACGTGTCTGTTTCCTAATCTCTCAATAGCCTCCTGTAATAGCAAGCACTTGAGTTCACCCATCTTTTGACTTCTTGCATCTGTACACACTTAGGCAACTAAATACTGACAATTGTCATCTTTCATGTGAGCTCATTCAGCGGGACTCTTCTTTTGTTGGATGGTTTCTGTTCGGTTTCCACCTCTGCTTTATTAACATCGATCCTTCCCCTTTACTAGGACACAGAGAATGCCTGTTCATAGAGCCTCTGCGATGGGCTGTTGTGGGCCAAGCCATGTGCTTCTCCACACCTATCGGCCTTCCCCCAGCCCTTAGTTTAGAAAAACCTCTACAACCTTTTAATTTGACGTGCCAGCAGTCTGGCTCCATTTCAGTTTAGGTGGAGCCCATCCTGCCTGTACAGGTTCCCCAGTTCCTAATAAATCTAGAGACCTCTTCTGTGCACCATCATCTCATCCATGCCTCTCAACCCTGCACTTCTGACTGGCCCTGCGTGTGGTACTGGAAGCATCTCAGAGAATGTGCCCATGGAAGTCCTGGACTTTAATGTCTTCCCTAGCAGTCTCCAGGACCTCTCCCCTACCCTTCCCTATGTCACTGGTACTGCTTCCTCCCCAGCTCTGTGTGCTCAGTGACCTTGCAGATGAAGGGGAGAACAGAGAGGGGGTGGTAGCTGGAGAAGCCCGTGGGTTGAGTCCATTTTTAAATTAGTTTCAGATTGCTTTTCCTGGCAGGGGATGGGCGTGGGCACAAGGGAGTTGAAGACTGGAAGAACAGACAAATCTCTGCAGCTGTGACAGGGAGGCCAGCCTGGCAGGGGAACGCCCTGGTGTGTCATCCATTTTCTGGAACAAGCAGCAAGGCCTTGTGTAGGGAGCCACAGAGGCAGGCTGGGGAGGGGGCAAGAAGCCAGTGGCAGGCAGGGAGAAGGCAGCTGGGCTCTGCTGTCACTGCTCCATGGCTCATCAACCTCACCCACTGGCTACGTCTAGACTGGCATGATTTTCTGCCAATGCTTTTAATGGAAAAGCTTTTCCGTTAAAAGCATTTGTGGAAAAGAGGGTCTAGATTGGCACGGACGCTTTTCTGCAAAAGCACTTTTTGCGGAAAAGCGTCTGTGGCCAATCTAGACACACTTTTGTGCAAAAAAGCCCCGATCGCCATTTTCACAATCAGGGCTTTTTTGTGCAAAACAAATCTGAGCTGTCTACACTGGCCCTTTTGCCCGAATGGGAGCAGCACAGTATTTCCGCAAGAAGCCCTGATTTCAGGAAGTCAGTGTTCTTGCAGAAATTCAAGCTGCCAGTGTAGACAGAAAACTTGCCGCTCTAGACACAGCTGCTGTGTGTGTCTGGGCTGCTGTAGCCCCTTTCAGGGTCTCGAGGGCTGTCTCCTGCTCCAGGGCAGCGTGGGGCACATCAGCATTGCTCCTGATTGCCTTGTCCCAGTGGGACATTGCAGGGTGGTTCTGACAGTGCAGGTGCTTGCCTGTGGTGTGCACTTGCGATGGAGTTCCCCTCCTGTCAGGGCACAGCTGCCTGTGCTGGGGACCCAGCGTGTAACCTGCAGCGGGGGGCAAGGCCCACCACAGAACAGCAAATGTATAGAAAAGAAACAACTGAGGAGGGATGCAGCAGCTTCCAGGTGAGGCGAGACTACATGCGTGGGGCTCTCAGCTTGGCCAAGAGACGGGGTAGAGGGACGACACCAGGAGACTAGAGGCTCGTGCCTGTGGTGGAGAAATCGAAGTGATACTTACTCCTGACATGAGAACCAGGGGTCACCCAATGAAATTCATAGGCAGCAGGTTGCCAAGGAAACAAAATTCTTCACACAAGGCACAGTCAACCATGCCAGGGATGGCCTGATGGCCAAGGGTTTGAGCAGCACTGGAGGACGTCCCGGAGGACAGGTCTATGAATGCCTATTAGCCAACCACGTGCACGGGCTAGGACTGGACAATGGGGCGGGTGGACCATGTGCTGGTCACCTTGTTCTGATCGTTGTCTTGGCAGCGTCTGGCACCGGCCACCATCAGACAGGATGCGGAGCTGGCTGGCCCTCGGGGCGGATCCGGCGTGGCCATTCTCATGCCCAGCTGGGGGGAGGAGGCTGCTGGGTGTGTGTTAGGGCCTGTGTGGCTCTGGGCTGATTGCTCCCCTCTCCCTGTGGCATTTGCAGTGGACTCCTTGGTGGGGAAGATCGCCCTCCCGGCCTACTCGCTGAGCGACGACGACTACTCCAGCTACCGGCAGTTGAGTGTGGAGAGCGACCCTGAGGAGGGGAGGGAGCCTGGCCCCCCACCCCCGCCTTGCAAGCAGTGTGGCCTGCAGGGGCAGAGCTGCCCGCAGTGTGCAGGAGCTGAGAGCCGGGGCCAGCGGGTGGTCTACTCGTGCCAGCTCTGCCCCTTTGCCTCCCACTACTCTAGCCACCTCAAGCGCCACATGAAGACCCACAATGGGGAGAAGCCTTTCAAGTGCCCACACTGCGACTATGCCTCGGCCCAGCTGGTGAACCTGACGCGGCACAAGCGCACCCACACGGGCGAGCGGCCCTACCGCTGCCAGGACTGCAGCTTTGCTTGCAGCAGCCTGGGCAACCTGCGGCGCCATGAGCGTGTCCACAGCCAGGACAAACCCTTCCAGTGCCAGGCCTGCGCCTATCGCTGCAACCAGAGCCGCAACCTCAAGCGCCACATGCTGAGCCACCGGCCGGCGGAGCAGGCAGCAGGGAAGGGGGCAGCCTGGCTGGGCCAGTGAGGGCAGGGCACCCACCTCCCAGGCTCAGGGAGAGCTGGGTGCCCGGGGTGGGAGGGAGCTGTCCCTGGCCAGATCCTCAGATGCTTCCCTACCCTGAGAGCCCAGCCCATGCCCAACATGGTCCAGCAGCTCTGCCATGGGCGGTGCTGCCAAAGCAATGGTGGGCAAGGGGCCAGTGGCAGGGAGATTGTGTGGGGGTGGGGTGGGGGTGCCCCCGCCCCTCACAGCTGCACTCTTTGCCCTGTCCTGCAGAGCCCCTGCTGCCGGAGCTGAGCCTGCACGTCAATGGGGCAGGCAACCCCCTCCTGCCTGGCTGTGCCCGGCTGCGGGGCGACGAGGCGGACGCGTTGCCTGAGCTGCTCTTCCCCTTTACCTGCCGCACATGCGGGCTGGTGCTGGACGACGGCTTGGCGCAAGACGAGAGCCTGGCTGAGCAGATCTGCAGCCGCTGCAACCTGGCAGTGCTGAGTGCTGAGCCTAGCGCCAGCCCCCCCGAGAGCGACGCCAAGGGCTTCTCCTGCAGCCTGTGCCCCTTTGCCACGCACTACCCCAACCACCTGGCCCGCCACATGAAGACGCACAGTGGCGAGAAGCCCTTTGCCTGCCCCCTCTGTCCCTACGCCTCCGCCCACCTGGACAACCTCAAGCGGCACCAGCGCGTCCACACAGGGGAGCGGCCCTACAAGTGCCAGCTCTGTGACTATGCCTGCGGCAACCTGGCCAACCTGAAGCGCCACGGCCGCATCCACTCGGGCGACAAGCCCTTCCGCTGCCGC